TGTCGCAACCGGTGTACATATACAGGGTAATTCCTGTTCCGTCGGGTTCATCTCTTTACTTGGAAAGTCAATATACAAATACAAATTTAAAATTGTTTTGCTACTTAGGAAACATCCATTTCTTCCGAAGCTCTGGAAACTAGTCTCATGATTTTTTTGCTTTTTTTTCTCCCATATTTTCAAAGCGCTCATTCCAAGGATCTTGTTTCCTGTATTATACTATATTTCCAAAATAGTAGGCACTAAATTCTCAAAAATAACTGACGTTTTTGCCTCAATCTCTCTCTTGCAGTGGGGTAGGAAAATTATACTAATCAGATAAGGAAAAATGATGATGAAACGTATATAGAATCACAACTTTGGCAACAATGTTTTCGTTTTAATGCAGTAAAATTTCTTTGGAGCATACAGTCTCAAATCCATTTTCGTGCATTTTCATATATTTTCATGAAAATTTCAAGTCGATAACATTTACCATTATCAAGATACGCAACATTATAACTGCGCATTTGTCGACAGCTAGTATGACGTCATGAGATATGTTAGATTCAGCGTCTGAATCATGCCCGAACTGTTCAAAACGAAGCACTTAATGTGACGTACTCGTGGTTATGGCATAGTTCAATTTCAAAAATAAGTGTAAGGTTTTTTTTTCAATGAATAGAATCGTCCAATTATCCAAATTAAAATTTTTTGCATCAATCAGAAATGAAAATTTAGCGATACTTTTGTATGTACTGATAGTTTTAGGTAATGAATACAGTTTTGTCCACCCTGTTCATTAATAGGTGTAAATGTGTTTATTTCATTATTACTTTAAAATAAATGTGATTATTTACATTAAAATGATCGTCTTAACAAAAATTAGTTCATGTATCGAAATCTTGTTCGCATAGCTATTTGCAAAGTTTCGATAACTTTTTATTTTAGATAACAGTTGCAAACAATTTGTTTGTAAACCCATGTATATGCTTTTTCAACTTTTTATCCTCCATATTTCACAACACAGGTAGATAGATGAATACAAACACAAAAAAAAACTTTCTCACCTACACAGAAACGTATGAATCTAATGGTCGTTCGTAGCCGGTCCTGTATTTCATATATCTGGTGACGTCACGTTACGTTTAGCTAAACAGCTTCTTCGAGACTGTTTTTTAAATCGTCTGATTAACTTAGAAAATGTATTTTATTTTTGGAATAAAAAGGTGAAGACTTGAGTGAATACCTGATTTGAGTATTTGGCATCTTCAAGAGTTTGAAAAGTAGAAGCGTATGAATAGTCGGAAGTTTAATTTGTATTTTTTCATCCCGTGAAATATACACATCACTCAAAAGTTCAGACAATAGTCTTAAGTCGTTAGTTTTGAGTCGTGAGTAATGTTAACCTACATTTGTTTTCACTGAAAACCTAGGACACCAACACAGGTAATAAGCGATGATAAGAAGGGGAAATTGAAACAGTAGTGCCTTTTCCCCGGTATAGTGAAATATAAAATCCCTTCCGAATATGTATTGAAAGTGCTCAAGTTCATATGGAAACGTACAGTGTGTATCTTGGAAAATCAAAACCCGTATATTGGCCAATATTTGACAACACCGATATGACTTATTTCTGGGTTTTGAATAAAAATATCAGATTGATACAAAAAACAGTAAAAATATATTTTATACATGGTAATTTTCCACTATTTACAGTCATTGTATAATCATTATAGAAAGTAAACTGAGTCATCTGTAGATTAATAACTTTCAAACAATAAAATCGTAGCTCGAGAACCAAAACAGAATATCTACTGCAAAAACAGTAGTCGTGGCAACACTGAACACGGCGCTCGTCTAATGCGATTTTTTCTTCACATGCAGTAGCTTGATTCGCAACATTCCCCGGTCGAATTATATTACGGTCTCGTTGTGATATATTCGATTTTCTCGCTCGCGGCACTGTGAATGACAACGTTCTGACTTTGCTTCTCTTATGACATAAAAACTATTGGTGCTAGCACAAAAACAAATGTAATAAGCTCAATCGTCTTTGCGTACACCATGCAAGTTTTTCAAATGTTCAGCTCTCTTGACCTTTCATAACCGACACGATTTCGGGACTTTGTTTTATCTATTGGAATATGTTGCCGAGAACGTCCCTGTATGTACGGTTTGTTCTTCATTATGCTTGCGTACTCCGTAGATCATTGTTCTCTGGTATTTTCATATTCGGAATAGACGGCTCACACATTGAATATCAATGAGACAAACTTCCAGACTGCAATAGTAATCATTTATATTGTCGGTACTTTGATGAAGGTGGTGTCAAAGTTAGGGAGCGTCGCTGGGTGTTGTTCGAGCAAAGGAGGCGAGATCGTAATTTATAGATGTTACAGGTAGGTTGGATGGTTGGCTAGTACTGCGACAGGCATTTGTGACAAGCTCTGCTTTCATATAACAATAATTATTTCTGTCGGTGGAAGCGAGTTAATATATAAATAAACCAAGTTTAAAAAACTGAAAAACACGCTTTTAAAGAACATCGAACTAAATAAGCTTAAAACAATAACGAATGAAAAATACCAGTATTATTGTGAAATTAATACACAATAATGCTTGAGAGTTACAAACAAACAAACATACATACATACATACAGGTGAAGCTAATAGACACGTGTTAATTAAAAAGGATACAAAAAAACCAAGACATATTAACCTAACAACGTAACAAATGGAAGAATTTCAAATCCCATCTAACCTGGCCTAAAGTGACACAATGAGAGGTTTCTCTTCCATTGTACAAAAAAAAAATCGTATTATAATAATTTGAACGCACACTTTTCTAAAGATTACATCAGATTTATCAAAAGAAACAATAATAACGTTAGTAAAAGAAGGCTAAATAATATCAGTTTTTGGAAATGTTAATAGAAATAATAAGCTTACAAAAGTAAATCAGCTGGCATTGAATGAATTGAAGATCTACAAAATGACTCCATTTCAATATGTACTAGCGATCCGCCCCGGCTTAGCAAGGGTTATACTGCGTATATGCCGGTATTTTTTTTGCCATAGTGTCGCATCCGATTTTAACTAATGATAATGACTTTTGATAGAATTCACTCAAATAAAAGTATGTTTCGAACTCTAAATTTCAATTTTGAAATAGGTGAAAGATACACTAATAATACTCGATGAAATTCAAAATTACTATCCAAGAGTATATAGAAAGGCAATATAAATTCAAAAACACAGGAATGACTTCAATAAAGAAGAAGAGGCAATGAACATTAATTAAATTTGGCTACCTGTCCTTAAAAGTACATAAACAAGTGCAGGTAATCCAATTAAGTGAAACCAAGCCACGCCCAGTAATAATAATATAAAACCCCCAGAGTCGTTATCGCGTTCGGAACGAGAACAACAAATCGATAACTGCGACGATTACCACATCGCAGTAGTAGACGAAACGCCAGGCATAAAAACCTGCAGACTACGACTAAAACACCTGGGAATTAGCTTCCACATAGTTACTACCTAGGTTAGGTTAGGTCCAAAGTGAGTGGTATTCGACCCTCCACCGCAACCCGCAAGGGTTTATTGTGGCTCACAACTATTCACATTCGACCAAATAAACCGAGCTTCTTAACGAAGCCGATTACTTTGTATGATGAGTGGTCTTTAGTACGGCTCTGCCGAACTCTAAAAACCTGATTGGGTCCCCAGCGGGGCAGGCACAACGTATGTGCTCTGCTGTTTCATCATTTTCCAGACAGAGGCGACACACACTGTCTTCCGACAGTCCAAGTCTCTGCATATGATGATTCCAATGACAGTGACCTGCAAGAAGGCATGTTGGACATCGTAGTTCATCCCTACTGTAGTCCAACAACTGTTTGGTATCAAGTTTCGAAAAGTGGAGTGATGCAATCCTGGAAGACTTTGCCAGAAGTCCATAAATCTTCTTGTCATCCAGGTGTTCAATATTTGTTTGGCAAAGCCTAAATCGATGCCAATGTCAGGTTCTGGTCCGATGAAGCTGTTTGCAGCACCCTCCTACTTACTACAGTATTAGAATCTACTTCAGTGTCTAGAGTTGTTGATGAAAAAAGTATTTGAATTCTTCAGAAATCTGCTGGGGATTGAGTGTTCAATTTTAGTAGCTACAAAAATCGATGGTAAAACTAGGGGTCCGTATACCAAAAATGGAGTTGATGATGGAATATTATAATCGAAACGTCGTATTGTATATTGGTTTATCTCGGAATATAACAAATATGAAACAGTATTGAATGGTGTTACGCCTTTTTTTATATTAGGCTGTAGAGCCAAAAAACGAAATTCGACAATTCTAGTGTTTGGCAAATATTCCAAAACAACTACTGATAATCTTGAGCCGAAAAGAGATTATTTTAGTTCCCCAAAACTGAATATTATTGGAGTTTTTTTTCCAACACCAAATCGTTATTTTTAACACCTCGACAAATTTATAAATTTGGATAGGCAATATTGTGAAATTAATTTTTATATAGCTGAAATTTGTTTTATATAAACATATATTGTAAAATAATAGATAAGGCAAAAT